GGAGGTCTTTCAGGACATAGAGCGCTTTTCTAAAATGATTTCCCGCACTTTGTAAGACTCATGTAAGGAACACAAAACCATGGTCCGTTTTTCCTGAACGCTTCTAGGAAGGTCAGAATAGTGGAGAAGAGATGGTCCAAAGTTCGATCCTCCGTGATGTCTAATTTTTGCAATTTATGTTGGCGCCTCCAAATTGTGTCCAAATGGCACCAGCGTCGATTAACATGTCATCCTCGTAATTTGGCGACAATTTGGAGGCTCCAACATGGATTGCAAAAATTTGTCACCACGGCGGATTGAACTTTGGACCATTTCTTCACCACTGTTTTGAGGTTCCCAGAAGTGTTCAGGAAAAATGGACCATAGTTTTATGTTCCTCGCGCATGAGCCTTTACAACAATGCAAGGAACCATTTCGGAAAAGCGTTCCATGACCTGAAAGACCCTCCCCTATGGGAACAGCTACCATTGTTAAGGTTTACTCGCAACTTCTGTTGCTTCTTCACACATCAGATTACAATTCACTTTCCATTCTCTGAGATAAGCACTCACAGTCATTCAAAGGAAAACAGAAGAAAAAAAGAGAGGAGAAGGAAAACAAAAAGAAAAAAAGGCAAAAGCGTGCGACGAACCTGCACTTGTACTGCCGCCCTGCACACTGGCCGTCATGATACTGATTCCCTACACCGCCCGTTGTTTGTGACGTTCACCATATTGAGAATAACCTTTTCACGAGGAGACAACACCTAAAAAGCAGACACTATTACACTTCACACTTTTGCGATGATTCTGGTGTAGGGAAAGAATGGATTGGAAATTTGCAGATGGGTTAGTTGCACCAAAAAATCTCGATTCAATCACCATCACTAGTCAGGAGAATCGCAGGGCCGAAACGCCTACATCGCCCAATTCGAAGCGGTGTGACGGGGGATTGCTTACCTTTACAGCTTTATACTACCCGCATCGGGCACTACCCGATGTTCTACACGTCGCGACGTGATTTAAGAGAGGAAACGGGGTTTCAAACCGAAAATGCTCCCTCAAAATTCCCTGATATTATTACCTGTATTGCATGCATACTACTGTTAGTCACGTTCACGTGATCTATCAGTGGCGAACGGTAGAACAGCTGCAAGCCGGCGGACTGAAAACTGTCGTTGTGGCCGGAACCACCACCGACGATTTCCACATTACGTAGTACGGATGCATCTGGAAGCAAGCATCATTACCACAGTGGACTATGGATAAATGCAGCCTGGAGAAAAACCAAGAAAAAATGACCTTTTGCTGGAAGCTGATCCAGTTCCAGGGATGCTCGAGCAAAACTGAGGCCTCCCCAATTACCAATGTAAATCCTGGAAGCAGCGATAAAAGAAGAGAACAATCGATTGAGTTACGGGTGGGACTTACCGGTCCAAGGTAGTGTTTGGTCCGCAGTAGATGTAATTGAAGTGTTCGTTGTCCATGCATTGCCATTGAGAGTCGTTGCCGGTGAGACGAAGTTGACACCTGGGAATCCATAGAATCATAAAGCTCTGGGAAATTAATGGAGTGTGAACAGAAGACAGAGGAGTGCAGCATAACTACGACGCGTCGATGGACAAGCTTCAGGGTTCAGGGTAAATACCAATTTGAGTGTTGAGTTGAGGTGACTGCAAGACAAACATTCAAATTCTTCAGTTCAAGGACAAATAGGACAAACCGCATTTGGTATCACAAGAATGCTGAGTTGTGAGCAAAACTTTCGCCCCAGCCGGGAATCCTACCTACTGTGCTACCAGTTACACTACCGGGGCACCATTTCAAAGGAAAAGTTTTCAAAACAAACGCATATGCTTGAACAGGAAAATGGAATCATCGACCAATCCATAAACATCAACCGAACCTGTCGAGACTCGGCTCAGTTCCTCTACATTCACGTGGTTCGACGTACGTCTTCACGAGTCGAATCTGGGGATTGTATTCCCAACGAGGTGTGAGCCAATGATAGGCGTTCATTGTCTCGAGTCCCAGTTCACGGCAAACTACCTGAAACCATCCAGATTACCTTCAGGTTCCTCGTTCACCTCAGTTTCGGAAGAAGGTTAGGGAATGAAGCCGGAGTGCAAAGTTATACCTGCGCATTTCTAACGGTGAACTGCCTGTCACACGATGCGATTGTCTCTCCCGTCGTGGCGTTGTAGATCTGCAAAATCATAGGTGCAACTAGGGAGTGAAGAAGGGAGCAAAAAGAGCTACCTGAAGATATCCTGCTCGTCCTCGAATGGTGCTGTTTTCGCTCAGGGATACTGTAAAGCGCTGATAGTACGGGTCATCTCGAAAGCAGTGGAAATTGAGTGTAGACTTCATCGGGTCGGGCTCTGAACACAGAAGGATTATGCTATTATCCTGGAATCTTCGTGTGAAAGTAACAACTGCAGCAAGATCTGAGCAACGCCCGAAATTTGCCGCAAAGCAGGGAAAAACAGATGTTTTAGCTTCCCCCGTGAAACCTCGCAAAATTATTTCCCTCCACGCCCACTTGGTAAGAAATTTCCCCCAATGCCTGAATTCTCTCAATGCATCGCGGGAGCGAAACTCTCTCACCGAAGTGCGTTTTATGGGTGAGACCACCCCCAAAAGAAAAGCAAATTTGCAACCAATTCAAAAAATAAGAAAAATTTCCTTTCCAAGAAGTTCGCTCCAATCTTGGAAAAGTGCGGAATTAAAAGGGTAAAGCACCAAAATTGGCCAAAGCCGTTTCGGAGTGAACCCTGTAGGGTATAGGATGATGCAGAACATAAACAAGGATTGCTCCCTTTTAGTAGAGAATCTGAATCGACAACCAACGAACCGGTTGGCTCTCTTGCTACGTTGCCATTTCTGAATTCTCTGTCCGACGTCACTGCGCTTTCGACGTCTGAGGTAAATCGTACTACGCTTGTATCTGGTACCGATTTTTCCTCCTCATCTCGTCGAACTCCGTTGTGTTGATCGGCTTGAACCTGAAAAGATACCCATAGCAAGGATGATGAAAGTGAATGCTGTCACTTCCCAAAGGTCACGCCAGCTATTTGGCACACCGATCCTTAGAGCTCACCTTATGGGCTCCCAATATGTTGCATCCGCAATCAGATCTCCTAGTACAAGAATGCGCACATTCGGCCAAACGTGAACCTCAACACCTCTCTCGATCCAGAGGGTCGCTCCTGGCATGATCGTGAGATCTCGTGTGATTCGATAGGGACGAAAAGGCTAGAAAAGTAGGATCACGTAGCTCAGCATCATCGTGGAACTCTCTCTCAAAGGCCAGTGGGTAACTTACTTTGTAGTAGTTGGGAAACACCGGCCAGCGCTCCCTAAGCAAAGTGAGATTCTTCGACTCAAACATCCTGCCCTTGAGATCTTGTGCTGATGGCTCGCTATACGTGGCGTTGGCCAGTTGTCCCTAGAAATTGCTC